GCAGAGAGCTACGTGGGTGCTTTATAATTAAATAGTTATGAGAAAGGCAACCATATTGACCTTCCTGAAGTTCCACTGATGTCCATAAAATTTCAACGAGAAAGAATTTTTCACAAATGACACTAAATCCGGAAGGTCAATGAAGAACACAGACACTGGTTATGATGAGACACAAAGTGATCTGCTTTGAAATCTTAGCTTGTTCATCTCTGAGATCGTTCTCTCTTTTACTCCATTATTAAACACATCCCAATTTCTGTATTATAACTTATTATAACTTATAGGAACTTCCAGATGGCACTGCTATGTTGTGCTGTGGGCTGAAACTCCGAGTGTAACCTGAACCTTAGTTGAGTTGAGAGATAAATACCATATTTGTACTTTGAAGCTACAACACTGAACCACACATTAGACAGATCCAGATCCAGTTCGTAGCTCAGGGAGGTTGTGGGAGTCCTGCAGGAGAGGCTGTGTCTTTCCCTCTCTGTTGTTGCCCCCAGAGTGAAACTCTCCCCAAGGAAGGCTGTACCCCTGGGGTGCTCTGGAAGGTTACCTGCATGGCCAGACATTTTCTGCTGTTGTCACCACTTTTAGACTGGTTAATTGTAACACTGTTCATGCTGTAATGTACGTGCTTAACAGTTTGTTGACATGGGGTTTTTTGGATATTTTAAATGAACCTGGGCTAGGGTCACAGTGGACTGTAGGTGTCCTCCTCCTGCACTGTGCTGCTGGCCTGAAACTGTAGTAGGTATCTTGTGTTATGTAAAATCCTGCAGGGAGCTGGATAGGGGTCAGCTTCATCCAAAGTCCCCCTGAGCCACATGCTGGCCAGTGATTTGCAGTGTGCTGTGTTAGCAAAGAGATCCTTGATAGAAGAGCTTGCAGCAGTGCTCATTCATCTCCATCTTGTCCTTTCAGATGTGATTTCGAAGACACTGCTCAGTACCGGGCCTCTGCGATGAATGTTAAAGGGGAGCTTTCAGCATATGCTTCAGTTGTGGTGAAGAGTAGGTTTACTCCACATGTTTTATTCGAAGTGTATTTTTAAAAATTTCTTCTCATGGCTAAAAAATAAATCAGGAAGCAAGTTCACGTGCATTTCTGCTTTCTTTTTTAGGATATAAGGGAGAGTTTGATGAGACTCGCTTCCGTGCTGGGGTTTCCACCCTGCCCCTCAGCTGTAAGTTTAAAAATATATTTGCTAAGTGTCATCTCTATTTAAAAGACAGCAGCATAAGCCATTCCACAATGCTGAAATAAAAGGATTATTATAATATATGCTAGTATGTGTATAATTGCTATTTATGCTGGGTTTTATTTTTTAGATTCTTTGGTTACTATTCTCTTTCTGAATATAACTGCTTCATTCCGGTTTTCTAAAAACCCAGATATGATGGGCTAAAAATGGCAAATGTTTTTAAGTCTTTCTGTGTTAACTAAAAAAGATCACGACACAAACCTGGGGCAGGTGATTTAACCATGCTTACTACACCTCCCCCCCCCCGCCCCTTCCCAAGTCTATCCTGTATCAGAACATCCAGGTAAGCATCACCTTCTGGAGAAATCCGTGTATGACTCCCACTGCCACCCCCACATCTACCTAGTCAAGGTTGGGTGTCCCCGGTGAGACCACGGCACCTCCATCATGGCATCCACCACACTGAATGCTGTTAACTGGCTTACAAGCCACTTGAAGGCAAAACTGGACCTTTTATGTCTAAACCCCAATACCTGACACAGAATACAATGAAGGAATAAATAAGTACATTAATTTATGAAGTGCAATTTAAAATGGAATCTAGGGGCACCTGGGTGACTCTGTCAGTTAAGCACCCAACTCTTGATCTCGGCTCAGGTCATAGTCTCAGGGCCATGAGGCCAAGCGCCATGTTGGGCTCCACACTGGGCATGGAGCCTACTTCTTAAGATTCTCTCTCACCCTCTCCCTCTCCTTCTCTGAAAATAAATAAACAAATAAAATGTTGTCTAAATGTGCTTTAATAACAAACTATTAAAAATATTCTTTTTTTTTTTAAAGATTTTATTTATTTGACAGAGAGAGATTACAAGTAGGCAGAAAGGTAGGCGGAGGAGGGGGGGAACAGGCTCCCCGCTGAGCAGAGAGCCTGATATGGGGCTCGATCCCAGGACCCTGGGATCATGACCTGAGCTGAAAGCAGAGGCTTTAACCCACTGAGCCACCCAGGCGCCCCTATTAAAAATATTCTAATCTGTGGTAATTTGTGAACTTCAGTCATTTCACCTATGTCAGAACATCTTTTCATAGAAGCAATAAAAGTAAAACCCTTAAGGTTGTTCAAATAATTTGATGCTTTCAGTGGTCAGACTGAAAAAGCCAAGCCTGAACTTATTTTCTGATTACTAAAAAATAAGTGATAGTTTTGAATGCTTGATGAAGATATTTTCTCATGTGTCAGTTTTTCACCTTCCTGGTTAGTTTGATGCCTGTAGATGACCTATTCCATCAATTTCATGGGATGGCTCCTAATTTTAATATTCCAAGTTTTCATCTTTGGTATCAATACCATGGGTGGGTGGGAGGCAATGATGGGTAGGAGTGAAGGAGGAACACACCCCAAATCATGCTTTTCTCGCATCAGTTGGTTTATACTGAGATAGAATAGTTGAAAATTCTGAACCTATGACTTACCTTCCATTGTCTCTAAGACAGGTTTATTAATCATTTATTTTCAATCATCTGAATGTATCCTGCTCATTTCCCCCTGCCATATCATCATCCATATTTCTTCCACTTCTCTCTTCTCCATCAAACCAGGCTCTAAAAGCCCAGCTCAACCTAACTTCTCTAACTTCTTAATCTTTCAGATCCTTCTCTGACTGGTCCCTGAATTGAGTGCAGTTGTTCCTAACACAGAGAACAGAGGGCTTTTATTCATTTACCCAACTCATATATTATGCATCTGCTATGGCTAGGTATAGGTTTAGGTGCTTGGAGTCCACTGATAAACATCATAGATAAAGTTCCCTGTCTGTGGTTCTGTTTTAATAGTTATTATATATTGATCACTTGTATCAGACAGCATACTAAGACATTTTGTTACATGCAATGGTTGTTTAACGCTCTCTCAAAGCTTATAGGTGTCTTTTATCTGTGCTGCACAGATGAGGAAATAGTTTTCAAGAGGTTAAATCATGAGGTAAGACCACACATAATGGTAGAGTAGGGACTTATAAGTTAGTCCTTCTAACTCTAAACCATATTTTTTTTTTTTTTTTGGTGGAGTGGGGAGCAGAGGAAGAGGGAGAGAGAGAAGGGGAGAGAGAATAAGCAGGCTCCATGCCCATCACAAGCCCAAGGCAGAGCTTGATCTCATGACCTCAAGACCATGACCTGAACCAAAATCGAGAGTCAGATGCTTAACTGACCGAGCCACTCAGACACCCCTCTAAACTATATACTAAAACAGGAATTGCCATTTTCTGTAAAGGACTCCTGTAATTGTAATTTCTAAACTAACTAACTTGTAAATTATAAATACTTTAGACTTTGTGGGCCCTATGGTCTTTGTCACAACTACTCAATGCCACCGTTGCTACACAAAAGTCACCATAGACTGTAGGTAAATGAATGAGCATGGCTGTGTTCCAATAAAACCTTATTTATGAACATTGAAATTTGAGTTTCCTATGACTTTGCACATGTCACATCTTTGATTCAATCTCAACCATTAAAAAAATCAAAAAATTATTTCTAATGGTGCAAAGCAGGAGGCAGTCCAGATCCGGCTCACAGATTTGCCATAACCCTGATGTAACCCATATCTCTATTTTGTAATCTTTATCTCTACCCATAGGCAGCTTTGGAGCCCGCCTGGCCTCCCAGACGGCAAAGTCTGATTGAATTGTTTCACTTTTGATCTCAGTGGGACATCATCATTTAGAAGTTGGGTAGATGGAAACTGTGCTTCAAAGAGTTGTTTCACTTTCGGTTAGTGGCTGCCAGAGGACACACAGATTCAAGGCACTATCATGTATTGCTGGAGAGTACAGCTTCTGGAAACAGCCTGCCAGGGTAAATCCTGGCCCTATAGGGTCATTATGGGCAGTTAATTTGCCCTCCCTATGCTTCTGTTTCCCCACCTATAAACAGAGAGATGATAATGGAACTTACCCGAGAGAGCTATTATGAGGTTTGAGTTAATAGATATTTAACACTGGGAACAATACTTGAAACAAGTTGAACTCAATAAATTTTAGCTTGCATTTTCAAATTACTTCTAAGAGGTGTTAGGAAGAGAGATGAAATATCAGAGATGGGGCCTAAATTTTAGAGTCAGGCAGCTATGGGTTTGAATTTCAATTTCACACATAATACCTTTGAAACCTGGACATTAGTTGTGTATTATTTTTGTGAACCTCTCCATTCTCATCTGAAAGAGAGGAATAAAAAATCTGTGCTGTGGGGTTTTTGTGAGGGTTAGACAACATGTCAAATTCAAGTGTGTGGCATGGTAACCTGTTAACGAGTCATTTTCCCAAGCTCTTTCCCTTGAGAAAAGAAGAAATAAAACCTGGGAGGCTTTATAATGTAGGTATTCACTCACTCTGTAAGTAAGATATTTTTAAGAAAAATATTTTTTAAAGTCACAATATTATAAACTTTTCAGTTTAAAATTTCTTATCAATTTTTTTCTCACTCAGATCATTAAAGACACTGAAGCAAAGAATTTTTCCATTAAGTTAGAAAACTCTATTTTTATGAGTAATTGATATGGCTGGTTTGTCTGGAGAGTACAGCAGCTGAGTTTTAAATGAACTAGGAATCTAAAAAGTGCATATATTGTGCTAAGTATTTAAGTCTAACCTAAATGTGGTATTCACTTACATCCTGTGTGAGGTATTATGCCTGCCCCTTAAAATTCTATTCATTGCAACAATAAAAATAAATGTTGAGCTTATCTGACCAATGAAGCAAGAATTTCCATTTCACATCATAATATATGGGAATGTGCCATGTACTACTTCTTTTTTTTTTTGCATGACAAAGTCTTTACTTTTAAATGATTATCAGTACACCAAGTAATAACATGTAACAAGTTCTTGAATTCTATCATCTAATAATTTTGATTAAGAGAAACTAAAAGCAGCCTGAACAATATATACTAGTATTCGTTGTTCTACCCTTAGCCAGAAAGGACTATTTTAAGGCTGGCTGCTGCTTCACACAAGTTATAAATAACTATTTACTACTTTTTCATAGATAAAGCCCCTGACCTTCAAGAAAGCTTTAGGGAAAAAAAAATTTAATCCCTTTCTTTCTTTAAAAAAAAAAATTTTTTTTTTACTACATCTAAGAAAGAAAAGTACTGATATATATGTTGCTTGAGCTAAAAGGCATAGGAAAACAAACCACGTATACACATTAAATTTCTAAGAAATATGAGGTAAAAGGAGAAAATCTTTGGATAAGCTCTACGTTTGTACAAAGAAGCTACATTTGCTATTCTCCAAAAAGTGAAGGGACCTACAACATAATATACAGAAATAATTTAATGCCTTTTCCCAAGGATGTAATTACTCAAGCTTTGCTGAAGCTTCGTTTTCCATGAAGGTATCTAACATGCCAATCTGCACGCAGAGCTGCTCCTTCCTCCCCTTATCCATTTATGCGGTAGTTTTCGTGGATCTCTGGCCGGATGTCACAGACAAAGGCCAGGAGGTTATCCAGGACTTCATCCCTGTTCTGCTGGAAGTAGGTCTGCAGGATGGTCATCTTCTCCTGGGTCTCCTTCTCCACTTCAGTGCTGCAGCTGCCGTGGGATCCCAGAGCCGCAGCTTCCTTGGCCTTGAACTCCTTCTCTCTTTGCAGGCGGTATTGTTCAATTTCAGCCTGAGCTGCTACTTTGGCCTGCTTCAGCCTCCGATTCTTTCGCTTGCGGGCCTCCGACACCTTCTCGGCAGCCCGCTTCTCGGCCTGCAGCAGCTGCTGGATCCCCTGCGACTGGCTGGCCATAGCGGTGGCGACTCTAAGGCCGAGGGAAGCGGCCTAAATCGGTTCGAGCGGGTCCCTCGGGTCAGCTGACCCAGCCGCCTAAGATCTGTGCCTGCGCTCTGCGCCCTGCACCAGCGCCCCGCCCACCATCCACCATGTACTTTATAAGATTTAATTTTTGCCCAGATAACTCATTTGATCAGTGTTTGCTGTGAGCACTTGTTAAAATGCTAGTGTCTCTTTGATGAGAAAAAACAAAATTACTAATGTTTGTTTTTGTTGTACCCAGTTGGTGTGACCCCTTATGGTTATGCATCCAAGTTTGAGATCCACTTTGATGACAAGTTTGATGTGTCTTTTGGAAGAGAGGGCGAGACAATGAGTCTAGGCTGCCGTGTAGTTATCACTCCTGAAATTAAGCACTTCCAGCCAGAGATCCAGTGGTACCGAAATGGTGAGCCTTTATGATGAATTCTCACTTAGGTTCTTATTCACCCGATGGGGAGCAAACGGGGCTTGGCACCAGAGCACGAGTGTCCATAGACCACAGACTTGTTTATCAGAACTGGCAGAATCTGGACATTAGAAGACATGACCTACTGGATGTTGAAAGAGTTTTTATACATATATCAAAGTAGCAGGACTTTTGTAACATATTTGTGGAGGTTGTAATTTCTTATCACCAAGTAATCTGTGGAAAGGATGACAAAAAATGCACTTTTGTAAATTACTTATATATTCATTTTATAAGTTAATATTATTTAGTAAAATTAAGGGAAGTCCACTGAATGCATTGGGACTGTGGAGCATGCCCACTGACCCCTCAGCATGGTGGGCAGAGAGCAGTGTGCTCACTAAGCAGTTGGCCTGAACTTCAGTTGTGCACCCCAGTACCTGGAGCAGTCTGGAGCATCTGGGTCCAGACCGAAGCCAATAATGGCAAAAGAACTGTGAATGGGGAACATGGCCCTAGGGAAGAGGAGGAGCTCCAAGTGGGGGCAGCATAGGAACCTGCAGTCGGAGCTTGCCAGCCTATCTGTCCTTCCCCAGAGCTCATTTCTATACAGTCTGCACAAATACTAACTTACTACCCTGAGCATCCAGACAGGAACTACTAGCAACCAGGCAGTAAACTTTGTCAGTAAAATATTATAAAGTAAAATCATGTAATAGAGGCACTGCAGTAAAGTATATGAGGCAGTTTAGAATCCGTAAAAAAGAGTTTAGAATCCCTGGTTTTGAAAACTGCTATAAATGTACAGCAAATATTCAGAGACTTAGAAATGTAAATTAAACTTAAAGGTTGTCACATTTGATGAAAAAGAACACTATTTTCACATGAAACTGTGAATGAAGCAGTATTCACAAGGAAGATAATCTTAAAATTTTTCCTTGTAATTGAAGATGCAGTGATAGAATGCATGAACTGACACATGGATTATATACAAATCATTTTCAGCCTCTTGTATACCTTCCACAACTTACAGAACATGATAGAGAAAATATCAAAATATTATTATGTATAATTACATTTAAAATTAAATTCAGACTTATGTGAAACTGATCTATATGAAGTCCAATTTTTTTAGAAATTTTGTCCCCTAAGCATCATTAGCTCTAGAGTACTAAAATTTATATTTTGAAATAATTTACCAGAAAGTTAACCCAATGTTAATGTCATAAGAATTTATCTATATAATACTATATAGTATAAAACTATATAATATTTGAAGTATGTAATATCCTAATAGCTATAGTAATAGTTGCATCAACAGCAAGATCCTTCTCAAAATTAAAAATTATCAATTAACTTCTCATCTTGCATTTGCAAAGAGTGACTGACTGAGGTTACTTTTTTTTTTTTAAGATTTATTTCTTTATTTGGGGGGGGTGAGGGGTGGGTCAGAGGAGGAGGGAGAGGAACAAGCAGACTCTGCCTGAGCACAGAGCCTATTGTGGGGCTCAGTTTCATGACTCTGAGATCATGACCTGAGCAGAACTCAAGAGTTGGCCACTCAACTGACTGAGCGACCCAGGTGCCCCTCAATTATACTGAGTTAAAATGAAGTTGCCAAAAGTATAAATCTGATGACCTAATAACTGAAAAGCAAGCCTGAAATATCTTATTATCAATCAAGCTATTACATTAATAAAAATTATTTTTGTATATAAAACTTATGATGTGAAAATATTTTTTTTGCAATTTGTGTTACCCAATTATATTTTATATAGAGTAAAATATTTTGAGAGGAAAAGGCCTTATATATTAGTGTCTGTAACTGTATTTTTTCTCTGCTTTTTGAACAGGGGCTTTGCAATTTCATTTTGCACTGGACCCTGCAGATTATGTATTTGGCCCTGGTCCCTTCGCTTCTGATATAGTATTTTTTAATCAATGTAAACATGACAGAATGGCTCAAATCCCTAGAGACTTCTACTGACAGTAGACTGAAGAGCTTTCAGTATGGAAGAAGAGGGAGAGAGAGAGGGAGGGAGGGAGCAAAAGAGGGAGGGAAGGATGGGAAAGGAAGGGAGCAATGGAGGGAAAACTCATTTTATTTTCTTACTTTTAAAAAAATTTCCAGGAGCACCTATTTCTTCATCCAAATGGGTGCAAACACTTTGGAGTGGAGATCGAGCAACACTGACATTTTCTCATCTCAACAAAGAAGATGAAGGCCTCTACACAATCCGTGTACGAATGGGAGAATATTATGAACAATATAGCGCTTATGTCTTTGTTCGAGGTAAGACCCAGCAAAAAGCAGAACACCCAAGTAGGTTGAAAACACTGAGGCCAAATCAATCTATCCAAACATGGTTTTTGTAAGATGAAAGAGCCATTTGAAAATTCTTCCAGAATACATGGCATAGAGTTAATAACTTCCAATAAAATCAGAACTCATATAAAAAGGTTAATCCTGAGGCACCAACCCAAAGCTAACAGAGCCAGACTGTGTTACTGTCATGGATTTTCAGGATTCTATCCTCAGTGAGTTACCAGCGCAGCTCTCTACAGGTGTTGGAGTAGAGATGCTCTATCCCAACAATACAAAAAGCCATTTCAATTTACCGAAGCTGCCATAAAAGAGTGGTGGGCTACAGGGGACTTACATTTTAATATCTATTCCAGGGAGCAATTTCATTATTTCACTCCAGACCCCTTCTTTATAGTTTCAACTTTAATGAACTAGGAAACAAGGTGCTACAACTTAATCCCTAAGGCAAGCTGTGTGATTTTAGGAGTCTTTCTTTGTTCACCTGTGTTTTGAATGGTTTGGCTCTCTACAAGTGGGGATATTATTTCTACACGGGATCGCAGCGCATTTGGAAGACCACTGACACTTCCAGGCAGCAGGCCTGTGTTATGTGTTCTCTTCTGTGCTGATAGTCAGGTGTGGCCACAAGAGGGGACACAGGAGAAGATGGGGAACACAAAATTTATTGCACTTATGGAAGGAGCAGAGGGAGGGGAGACCTTGGGCCATGACTTTTATTGGTGTTTCTGCGGGAAAGGGGAGGTAGGGCAGGATAAACAGTTTAGGATTGGCTAGTTTGAATCATTTTGGTAGACTCTAAGCTATAGGCGTGGTCCCTAGCAGCCTGCTCCCTGGCGCTGCAGTCCTAGGGTGTGCAGGCCAGATAGAGGAGGCACGGCTCTGGATTGGTGGTTTGCTTATCAAAGGCCTGCTCCTGGCTGAGCGGCTGCTATCTTCAAGAATTGGCTAGCCCTAGGTGGGTGGGTGGGGGGAGGGCAGTGCCTCAGAAAGGTTTTTAAGATGTCAAAACTTCATAATACACAGAAAACTAAAGTATAAACAATATAGGAGACTTACTAATTTTTAAAAAATATCTTGTGTGCTAAATAGAATCATAAACTCATAGGAATTTTGATCAAAATGGAACTTTAGAGGTCAGGTGTCCTTAACTGGGATCCACAGACTCTCAAAGGGTCTGATTAAAATTGTATTTAAGGGACGCCTGGGTGGCTCAGTTGGTTGGACGACTGCCTTTGGCTCAGGTCGTGATCCCGGAGTCCCGGGATCGAGTCCCGGGATCGAGTCCCACATCGGGCTCCCGGCTCCGCGGGGAGTCTGCTTCTCTCTCTGACCTTCTCCTCGCTCATGATCTCTCTCACTGTCTCTCTCTCAAATAAATGAATGGAATCTTTAAAAAAAAAAACTGTATTTCAATATATTTAATTTCTTTGGCAATCTCATGTATGTTATTTTATGCATTTGGAAGCATTATTTCAAGAAGGGGCCTCTAGACTTTGTCAGTCTGCCAAAGGATGGCTCAGAAAAGTTAAGATTCCCATTCTAGTCCAATCCTTTAATTTTAAGATGCAGAAACTGAGGTTCAGAAAAATAAAGTGATTTACCAAAAAAAGCCTCACGGTTAGTTAAAAGCAAAAGTGGATCTAGGATACAGGTCTTCTGATGCCTAACCCAGGATTTTAATTAGGCTAAGCTAATGAAACAAAAAAGCTTATTTCTCTCCTATGTCTATCAATTCAGAAATAGGGGCGTGGTTCAGAGTCGCAAGTCCCATCTACATTGTTATTCCATGGTCCCCAGGTGCTATCTTGTGTTCTCATCCCAGCCTATGGGAAAAAGAGAGAGAGGAAGTGGATGGGGAGAAGAGAAGAGAGAGGAAGTGGATGGGGAGATGCAGAGTTGTACACATCACTTCTGCATGGTGAACACTTAGCCACATGCACATCTCACAGTGAGGGAAGCTAGGGTGTCATGTGTCCAGCTGAGCAGCCATGTTGCCTGCTGAAGCTGGGGCTTCTAGTACTAAAAGGAAAATGGATACTGGGAATGGTTAGCAGCACACATACACCCCCAGGGAACAGTAACAATTGTGGAATTCTGTCCTAGAACAACAACTGATAAAGATACATGAATATTAAAAAGAGAGAGAGACATGAATATCTACATCATCTGAAAATGTTTTAGACTTTCTGCAACACAAAAGTATTGTGGGAAAAGTCAGAAGTCACTGAGGGAAGAGAGTTG